CTGTTGGTTATAAGAGAAATCGCGAAATTTCACGTATTCCTAGCGTGTTCATTTTGCAGGCGTATCATCATATCCCCCCATCTGAATCAAGAAAACGAACCGGAGCAAGTCATTCCACCCGAGCATCTTGAGCCTCCATTGATGTATTCTGCTGCAAAGTATTCCACGGGTCAACTCGCAAAGCCCTGAACTGGAAGACACTGAGGGAACCTTCACAATCATATCCCCCTATCTGGATCAAGAACACGAACCGGAGCAAGTCATTCCACCCGAGCATCCTGAGCCTTCATTGATGTATTCTGTTTCATCACAGACCCGACATGGATTGCACCTCCTTCACAACCGAAGACCAGTGTTTCGTCAAGTCCAACAGTGCCCAGGCTACATTTCTGGTATCCGCCCACGAACCTGCAGACGCCGCAGAGTGGATCGAACATAATTGGGATGGCTCTGTCCTCGCCTCGATTCGTGGGAGTGGGTGCTACGGGCCCTTGGCATGTATGCTTTCCCCGCAAGAACCAGCGTTAGCACTCTTCGGATGGAATGATCCTCGCATTACTGCTATGGCCCAGGAACTCGCCGAGGTTTCGGGATTTCCTGTTATGATTCGGCCGCCTAGCGACAATCCTGCCTTGAGCGCTCTGTACGTGAATTCAATCGTGTATCCTCTGACCCAAGCTTGACATTACACAGCATTCAACATGCGAATGGTAGTGATGAGGGAAGTCCGGCCCCTCTGGGAGTCGATAACGGTAGTTCAAATTCAAACAATGTCAGTGGAGATGGGAGAGATGCCAGTGTCGGCGCCGGGGACAATGCGGGTCCCAATAACAGTCGTTCAGACTCAAGCGATGCCAGTGGAGAGGCTAATGGAGGGGGAGATGGTGGAGATGGCAGTGGCGAACCGTCTGTGATGGACGAGCGGCCTCCTCCACTCCACCGAACAAGTCTCAAACTTCGCATCAAACTCGCCCATGGCGTGTACAATGTCGCCGTCGTCTACGCGTACAAGGTACGCGGGATGATTTATCTCATTGTCTCCCATGCGGCCATGCCTAATGTCTATTGTGACAGTTCATAGTCGACGGTGACCCTGAAACCCCGATAGACCACAAGGATTTTTCGAAACCATTGTCAAGACCAGAACTCATTTCTCTTGTGGATTTCAAAATAGAGGCACGACCACGCGAAGCCCAAGTGGATCGTTCCTATGCCTCTATCGGCTTCGTCGCCCATCGAGGGCAGTCGTTTGCTGACCGCCAATTGTGAGCCCGCGCATATATTCTTGTATCATTTTAATTATCTCAACATGTTTAGTCTACCCCGTGGGTTCGAACAGCCCGAGAAGACCTATACCTACGGAATATATCATGGGACTCAATGGGGACTCAAAGCCGCTGCCGGATTTTCCCAAGGAAGTCCCCTTGGAACTGTAGGCCTCTCTTATGACGAGAACAACAATACCACAACGCAAGCTGCGGATAACAAAGTCTGTGCTTTGGTTTATATGACGGTGTATCACTGAAATGTGTATATTCAGGCCATGCCCAAGTGTCTTGTCAAGTGGGAGGAAGGAGAAGAGTGGGGTGACGAAGAAGACGCGGACGAATCTTACTCTTCTTACAACATCTCGTTTCAACCACGGGAAGTGTGCTTCAGCTCCACCCGCAACTCGGAGCCCCTCCCTTTGGAAGTGAAAGTCGGTATGGGGGTCAATTTCCGCTCAGCGGTACGCGGCGAATAAATTGCAATGATATTCTGTGTGTGAGCTGACTCGCCTTCAAGCCTTCGGGTCAACCACCACTTCCTCCAGTATCCTTCGTCAACCGCAACCAAGTATTGATGTGGATATCCGATCCATCGTCCAAAGCACAGATACGTGGTATCCTGGTGCTCATTAGTGTCGGTCTCCCTCTTCCTTTAATCCCACCTTACTTCTTCCAAACAATCACAGAGCTACTTGGACGACGTCCACACGACGGAAAAACTTCAAATCTTTGAACAGAAAGAAGTCGAGTTTGATGTAACCCCCCAGGCATCCAGCGGTGGGCCCTATGCTCACTTCCACGTGGAGAATTTGGGCTGATATAATTCAAGCTCAATCAAAGCCCGGAACCATATCCCTATCTGTGGCCCAGGTGAATAAAGCGGACGAAAATCAGCTCGTGCAAGCAGCTGCATCACCTGCGAAGAAATTCAACGCAATCCTCCGCAAGTTCGTGGGACCATCCGAACAACCTTGCACCGGCCCCCCCAAAATTGTGTCGCCTCATGAATATCTCGCTCGTGGCTGGGATTTCAATAACAATAAGTGGAGGAAGGTTCTCTGGCCCGCGCTCGACAAAGATTTCCGAGTGGCCGCACTTGAGGAATCGGCGCCTAGTTTTGAAATAGAAGACAGTGGACAGAGTTGACAGGACGTTACCTGTTTTTTTGACAGAGATGCATATGTAGATAGACAACCTACTATTAACTAATGATTATGACGAATTAACGGCTCGCCCAATCTTACAGTCCGTCAAAGTATTCGGAGTGGAATTCAGTAATCGCAAATCGCAGCGCCTTGGCCCTCGCATCACATCGTGCGTGGAGGAGGGCCACTGGGTCGACCCTGTACAAAAGAGTAGATTCAACATTCTCACACTGGCTACTTATCTTGACCCAGGCCGACTTTTTGTGTGTTTTTGCAATTGGCTGTTCAGAACAGAACCCTTGTCTGAATCTTTCGACACAGATGGTTTTGCCTCGGCCACAGGAAAGCGACAAGTCGATGCATCCAGATACACCCGTTTGATCCTCGGATCGTCGAATCCTTTCTTTTTCGCACACCTCACTGCCCGCGAAGCAAATATTCCGAAGCTCCTCAGATTACATCGGCGTATAAAACAAGTAAGTTACTGGGACCTGCACCCGCAGCTACAACCTCTCATACGGTGCAACCTGTCTAACACACCTCGGCTGCGGCCTCTTCCAGCTAAACTCGGGATCATCCTCCGAATCATCCAAGCGCCGAAAGAAGTAAGGCCATGTCGGGAGGTAGCACATTTCCTACAGTGCGAGCGTTTAGTCAGTCATATCGAACTAAGAGCCTGGCCACACGTACCTCAGGGCCACACGCAGGCAAACACTTGACCCACACGCTCCAATCGAGCCACGTTACGAGAGCGTCTGCGTCTCTTTTCCATTTGCGGAGAATCACGCCGGGGTCGAGTGCCACGGGGGACTCGGACGGAAAGAGCATATCAAGCCCCGCGCGCACACCACGCTCCCACATCCCCACAACAACCCGACAAATCTCGCGCTGCGTCCCGTCCAGCGCGTTGAGGAGAGTTCTTTCCGAGGGTATGAGCGAGAGGAGTTCGTGAATGGGTGCGGTATGTCTCGTGGCGCACGCACGCCATACGGGTGCCGCCCACGTACTATCACCCTCATTTTCAGAGGGACGCAAGCCCGCGGGGATGTAAACCGCGAGCATGATCCGGAGCTGCATCTGTACCGTCCGCGCGTGTTGTTCGATTTCTGTCGAGGGAGGGAGGGTGTGAAGGAGATGTTGAAGGAGCTCGAGACGATCTGCGTAGCGATCTACCACAACGCGGTAGAGCGTCTTCCAATCCACCCCACTGCCCACGCTCTCGGATTCTTCGTCTGATAACACGGCGCGTACACGTGCTGTGACGGCCTCCACGTCCTCGGTAGAGATATTCTGCAGACGGTGGTCCCACCTCTCCGTCTGCGTGCGGTGAGGTATGAGGGAAGGTACGAGTTCGGTGTCGTAGAACGAGACGAGCTTGCTGAGGTCCAGACTGATGCGCGTGTCGCCCGGGTACCTGTTGTGCCATGAACCCCCGCGGACGGTTTCGAGGCTTACAATTTCCATGATGCGTCGGAGGTCTTCGGGTATTGAAGCGGGCGGAGGTGCGGAGAGATCGAAGGCGGGAGGGGGCATGCGGCTGGGCCACCAGCCTGTGAGATAGTCTGCCGAAACGAGTTTGACGCCAGAGTGAAAATCACAGAGCATGACTTCGCTGCGGCGACATCTGGATAAACGTGGCATGTAAATTTGAAAAGGTGCTCACAAATCCATCTCCATTCTACAGCTCTAATTAGTGCTTGGTGTGCGAGACAATAATCCACGATGCTCACCTGACATACGCGTCAACGCCCAACTGCTTCCCCCAGGCACACAACCCATCAATCCGCTTACGCTCTGCAAGCCACATATCAGGCCGCACCTCACCCCACAACAACAAGTCCTGCGAATCCAGCGTCCCAAACTTCATATTCACCGCACTCGAGCCGTCAAAGTACAGAACCTTGAGAGGGCGCGTCACCGCAATCGTGAGATGCCAGCAGCCTGGTGCACTCGCATTCCCGTTGAGAAGCCCGGGACTGCCGCAGAAGGGGAACGAGTGCTCTGGATCGACTGCAGTCCAGTCCGGAGCGTCGGGAAGGCTGGAGTCCGCACGGCCGTGGTAGAGCAGAGTGCCGATGGGTATCGTTCCAGGGACGACGGTGTGTCCTGTCTGTAGATGAAGACAGGGAGATGCGAGCTAGAAGTAAGGCGGAGTTACCGTTACGATAACGCGTGTTGGGCCAGTGCTGGAGGAGAGAGTTCACTGTGTCGAAAATGAGAGGCGCCGTGTCATTTGGGGAAGGTTTGAGGCCGAGATTCTCCCAGGCGCCGTCGATTTTGGGGGCATACTGGAGCGGGATTTGGGACGATGTGGAAAGGCCGGAGACAAGCGTCGCGGCGAAGACTGCCGGCAGGGTTTGAATGGGAAGCATCCGCTGAACGAGGTGGGGAACTCGCCGCTCAAGGATGTCGTCGCAAGGGGCGACAGCTGCTGCGCGGCCGGCGGTCCGACATGATCGGTGACTCAAATGCCGGTTGAATGCCGGAGTAAGCAAGCCGCTGCCATTGAATGCAGGCAATAGATGCGAGAATGTAGTGATGAAGGGTCCAGGTGCTTGGCTCAGACGTGGCCAAAAAGGAAAGGAGTGGGCCTTGCTGGGAATCGAACCCAGGTCACTTGCAGTTACTACAAAGCCCAAAGCAAGTATCTTGCCTCTGGACCACAAGGCCACGGTCAGGGGTCGGCATCTAAGCCATTTGAGATGAGGAAGGCATATCCTCCAGCGGACTTGGAGCGGTGTTTGAATTCAGCGTGAGTCATCCATCATGACTAGTGAGTTCAGGCGACATTGACAGTCAACTGACAGTGACATTCCACCTCATTCCACCTCTCACCGGAACCACCACCATCCTCGCTCTGAATCCTGCCCAGCAATGCCTTCACTCAAGGACTTTCTCGCCAACTCGTTCACTTCAGCTCCGCGACAGAAGGTACCCGCAGCCAATCTCTTGGCCCAGGATTTACTGCCGGTGGAGCTCTGGGACGAAATCTTCTCTCTTGTCATCGACGACGACGATCTTCTGCGTGCCGCGAGGGTGTGCAAAGTCTTCAATATCATCTGCATCCACCTTCATCTCGCACGTCACCAAATCCCGTCCTTGGCTGAATCGCACTCTCAGCTACAAGTCAAGTCCGCCGCGCTGCCTGCGTTACTGCTTTCAGGCACGGCCCTCAGGGCAGATCGGCTCGGCTGTCATTTTGACACCGATCTTGGCATTCAGCGTGGGCTGGCAGCACTCCGGCATATCATCAGCAGATCGGACACCCTTGGTCGAGTGGACCTCGCATTCGACGGGGACCTCTCCACTGCGTACGAGCGCGATACTTCCGTGCCCGAACCGTTGCGGTCGCAATGGAGGATCCTGCATGAATTCTGCGGCGCCCTGTCTGCCATGGCTCTCAAAGTGCCCGCAGGCAAGGTGGTCGTTATCTTGCGAGGCGCATTGTACGGTGGCCACGCCGTTGACGTCGCTGGTTGGAACTGGTATAAAAAGCCACAACCCCCCGTCCCACCGTTGATGCAGAGGATCTCCCTCCGAAAACAAAACATTCGAGCGGAAACGCCGCCGCCGCGTTTGCCATGCACGGTGCCTCCCTACCCAAGTGAACTTCGTCTGCACTACGTTCAAAACGACTCGGTCTCAATGCATGTGTATAACATCAACTCGGTCTCGATGCATTCGCCCTCGGAATTCACTCTGTTCGTCTTCAATGGCAACACCATCGATACTCTCGATCTCTCAGCAAGCCCGATCTCCGCACGGCTGCTCTCCTCTCTTTTGCGAACGCTGGAATTCCCTGCGTTGGCAACGCTCGTCGTTTCCGATGGAATAGCTCCCGATGATTGGACCGCCTTTCTCCTCCGCCATCCTGCACTCAAGAAATTCCAATACGTGTTGGATCATGATACTGCGCCACTCGCCCTAGAGGCGATCCAACCCATCGTTCATCCAGGCCTCCGAGAACTCCACGCCGACGGAATCTCGAACATCGAGCGCGCGATGGCAGCCTTGGGCTCCTCTCCCTCACTCTCTGTGCTCCATTTCACCATCTACCCCAGCGCAGCTGAGCGTCTCCGTACTCTCAGCCCCGTACTTCGCCTGATCGCACAATGGCCCGCGGATTTACTCCCGGTCAACCTCGCGCTCGAAATCAGAGACGGGAATCTCATCCCGCACCACGTGGGTGGTTGGCGGGGCGCTCGCCTTGCTGCGGAACACTGCTTCTTCATAGACGACGAGGCAACTGCGATCGCACGCTCTCTGTATTGCGTCCATGGGGTGACGATTACATGTTGGACGGGCGGTATGGGGCGCGCGGCGTTGACATGGCTTGCTCTGTTGCCTGCGCTGCGGCGGGCTGACTTTGCTTTGTATCTGGAGGAGTTGCCGCGTGGGAGGGATGATGGGTCGCATGCGATGGTGTGGCAGAATGAATATGAGAAGTTTAAGCACACGGCGATGGCTGCTTTGCCGGGCGTTCAAATTGAGGTGCATCTTTATTAGCCGTAATTCAAGTCGTCCATAGCTATCGAAACATTCTGGAGTAACTAAAGATGATTTCAAGAGGGACGATCATGGGCTATTTTATTTATTAAAATGAGCATTGGAGATCGAGTCCGAGAAACAGACTTACATTGGGAGGATCACAGCATCAAAGGTCGCATATGACCCGACTGTCCGAAAGGCCCGTCTGTAACGTGGCTATGATTGAGTCTCGCACATCCTCAAAAGCATGAATGAAGACGCAGCTGAGGCGTATCGTGTGGATAGACGTAAATGGGTCCGTTCGCAACAGTTCTCCGAGTCGTGATGGCGGGAGCCACAGTGTCGTGTCGCATTCAAACTCCCAGTCCACGTACAACTGGAGGGTTTGAAGGCGTGTATGCCTCGCCACGTTGGATAGTAGGGGCGCTAACATCGGAGAGACCGAAGCTACTCCGGTGCCCTCGTCATAGTAGACGCCCCCGTCGACGGACAGGTGTACCAGGTTGACGCTTGCACTGAAATCCAGGTTCGACAGCGCGTCTGTAACAGCCGTATATCAGTCGTATGAAGCAAATAAAAAGCAGATAGACTTGCTCAGTCCTTCGTCATTGAGGTCCACGAACTGCAAAGATTCCAAGTCGGATCCCAAAACGTGTAGGTACTTGGAGACCACGTCGAGGGATGCAGAGATATCGCCCCAAGCCAGTTGCAAGCTTTTTGTGTGCAGAGTGGACATGAGGCGCTGATCGAGACGCGATGCGTGAAACCACATCTGCAAGGAGCGCAGATGCAGGGCAGGAAGCGCACATTCAGGGTCATCGTTGTCCCACGACACGTTGCCGAGCACCAAGTGTTGGAGGTTGCTTGTTCCGGACAGGAATCGAAGGAAGCTGGTGCACGAATCGAAATGAACAAAGTCGTCCAGCTCGAGATAAGTCAGAGACGCGAGGGCGGGCAAATCAATGGCGTCCATCTCCCACAAGCGGAGTGAGCGTAGTTGAGTAAACGATCCAAGAGAGGGTAGGATTGTCTCAACATCTGGCTCTGAGAGCGTCAGATGCCGGATGGTGGAAGCCAAAGTGTTTTCGGGGCACGCCAAGATGTCTTTTAGACGGGTGACTGAAGTCTCCGTGGATATGGAAATGGTGAGATTGCCCCTGGCAAAAGGAAGCCATCCACGGCAGACAAGACTGCAGCGCAGCAGGTCTGATTTGTCCGTGAGGTATTCGATGGTCAGTGCGAACAACTCGAGCGGGAGATGGGGTATCTTGTCGAATGCCAGAGACATCTTGGAACTCGTTAACTAACAATCTATGAGCAAGGAAGAGCCGCTTTTACCGAGAGAAGATGGACTGGTCACCCACTGGCCTGACGCGACGTCGTGGTTGGTGGAAGAGGAAGGATTGATGTATCAGCATCAGCACCGCAAACAAATTAACGCCAAACAACTTCATCGCTTCAGGCTGATTCGTACAGCGGTTTTCAAAACAGTATACGGGTTTTGATCCAGTGCTCCACCTTCGTTTGTGTTGACCTCTGTATGCCAGTGAGTCTGCTTCGACTCCACTCGCCTGCCCGGAAAGGGAAATGCCGTCCAGCCACGGCATAGCTCTTGAATTTATTTGTGGAGTGGAGTGGAGCGGAAGCTCGACTCTCCGTCAAACAAAGGTCAGCAAAAATGTACGTGGAGCGAGGCTCCAAACCCGTATACTGTTTTGAAAACCGCTGTAACACTATGGCCACCGCGACGACGAGGCACGTCTGGACCAGGTGCTCCGCAACGCGCGCTAGGAGAGCAGCAGCTCACATCTCGACCGGCCGCACCGAAGCAGCATCTTCGCGCGGCGGCTTTCACGCCTTGGCTACTTCCTGAGAGCTCCGAAAGCGGGCTTCTTTTTTCTCCTTTCCTGCCGGCACATGGCCCTCTCGCTCAAGATCGCAACGATACTGTACTATTTCAACCGTAAGTTCATCAAAATTATGTAATTTTTCGACCGAGAAGGCCGAAAAATTTTCTTTTGAATTATGGCGATTTTTGCACACATCAAAAAAGGTTGGCTGTGACGTGTGACTGAACTTACGGTTGAAATAGTACAGTACCCACTCCCTCTATCATTTTGGCTAGCTTTCATATTAAAAGTTTGTGCAGAATTCCATCTTCCAGAAAGAGCAATCTGATTCGCGAAGTGGCGACAATTCAATCAGCTGTAGCGGTCAGTCGAGCTGTCCGTGGGAGTCTCACGATAACCTCACCTCTCTCACCTGGACCACCATCCTCGCGCCCAGCCATGCGTTCCTTCAAAAAGTTCTTCACTGGCTGCTTCACTCCTTCCGTCTCCCGACGGCGGGTATCTACAGCCCCTCGCGCTGGCCAGGATTTACTACCGATCGAACTCTGGGACGAAATCTTCTCACTTCTCACAGACGAAGATCTCCTGCGTGCTGCGAGGGTGTCCAAGCCCTTCAACATCCTCTGCATACGCGTTCATGTCGCGCGTCACAAACTCCCTTCCGTGGCTGAATCGCAGGCTTCGCTGCAAGTCAAGTCAGCTGCACTGCCTGCGCTACAGCTTTCATGCACAACACTCGGGGCAGAGCGCCTTTTCTGTCATTTTGACACCGATCTTGGCATCCAGCGCGGGCTGGAAGCACTTGCCACAATCATCGGCAGATCGGGTACCCTTCGTCGAGTCGACCTCAAATTCAACGTGATACTCTGTTGTCTGCACGAACGCGATACCTCGGTGCCCCAACCGTTACGGTCGCGGTGGAGAATCATGCACAAGTTCTGCGGCGCACTGTCTGCCATGGCTCTCAAAGCTCCGGCGGGCAAGGTCGTCGTTATTGCGCGAAGCTACTTGTACGAGGGACACGCCGTCGATGTCGCTGGTTGGAACTGGCATTCGAAGCCCCTCCCACCCAAACTGCCGTTGTTACCGAGGCGTTTATTCCGACGAAATACTCGACTGGAGCCGTCACCGCGTTTGCCATGCATGGTGCCTCGGCGCTCAACCACACTGCCTTGGGACCATGTGTATGACACCGAGTCGGTCTCGATGCATTCGTCCTTGGACCCACAGTTTACTCTGTTCGTCTTCAATGACGATGCCATCGAGATTCTTGATCTCAGACACAGCCCCATCTCCTCGTCGTTGCTCTTCGCTTCGTTGCGGACGCTGGAA